GTATTTCGTATTGAAGAACCAGACATAACTGACTACTTCTGTGGATCAACGCATGAAACTGGCAGCACCAGTTCTCTGTGGTCCAAAAAAGTAAGAAAGAGTAGGTGCAAACAATACTGAGTTTTACATAAGAGCACCAGTATGACAAGTTTTGTGCCAGGGAGACAGTTAATTCTGCCAGCGTTTAAATGACAAGCCTGGTTTTTTTTCCACAACTCACAGCAAACACTGCTGGCAGGCCCAGACATCCATCACAAAATAGGTTTTACAGAAAGTTTCAGATACTTAAAAAGGTTGACTTATTTTTATTTGAAACAGATCGTTTAATTGAAGTCAAAAGCAAAATATTTCAAGGTTTAAGAAGGTTTTAATTTCTCCTCTCTTTGTTTAGTCTTTAAATGTAATTCCTCCTCTTTTATTAATGGAATGGGAGAGGAAAAAACTAAGAATAATTTTTTTTGTTTGGTTCGTTGGTTGTTTTTTTCCCCCTCTTTTATTTCAGTTACAGAACTCTTCCCTTCCCCACAACCACCAATGAATTAAATGCTTTTAAGAAAACTAGTGTGGAGGAGAATCATCTCTTTCAAAGATTTCAGAGCCACTGTGTTTGTCAGGAATGGATTAAATCATTTCACTGTCTCAAATGATCCAGATCATATTGGAATAACAAGCAATATCCCTTACTTTCCAGTAGATGCACTGAAACACATGATTTGGAAAATGGTTTTTTCCAAAATAATTTTCAACTTAAAAAAAACCAAAAAAAACAAAATGTTGTCAACTAGTTCTACAGCTACAATGTTGAAGAAGGCCTTCTAGTCTGTATTTTAAAGGTTGCCTACTGCTTGGCACCTATTGTCTAAACAGAAATGTTTGATTTCACATGAGAATTGGGCAAATGGTCTTATGTTGATGGATATGTCCAATTTTGTACTATAAGTGCATGGGTGTGAAGCTGTGACCTTTAAAACCAAATTTTGTCCTGTATTTTCCGTATTGTTGGCCTTTATTTTCTTCACCTGTGGGTAGCCATAAAGATTAAATATTAAAGAGATAATTATAGGAGCAGCTACTATATAAATATTTGTTCCAACACTCACAAAGGACCTGGGCAAACTGATCTGATGAATTAGGAAGTTGTTTTGTAAGGTTACTGGGGAAGAAATAAAAGCTATACCAGACATGTCAAAGATACGGTAACAGACTCCAGAAGAGAGAGGTCCAAAAAACACTTGGTTTTGGTTACACAAACAGCAATTGGCATTCCACTAAGATTCACTTTGGAGAAAATGATTGTCCAGGTAAGAACAATGATGAGAGTTTTTTCCATGAGCAGAAAACACAAATAAGATTCTGCATTACACTGGTGTGTGTTCAACACTTTCCTAACTTGTCTCCTTCACTTGTCAAGTAAACCCAGGCAGCAGTTACACAACAGCCTTCAGGTGGTCATGCTGAACTGAAGAACAATTATAACTCTTTTCCCAAGTCCATTTTCAGTGGACCACTTTTAAAACTTTTTTGTAAACACTGGATGCATAATATTGATTTTTAATTTAAACTCTCACAGTGTAAAAATTTCCTATAATTTCTTTAGCTGCAGATATCTCGTACAATTTTGATTTTATAGCACTGTAAAGCCACCAGTTCCTTCTTATCTGGGGGGGGAGGGGGGGGGAACATGACACGGGGGGGATGAGAATTCCTCACTTTGATTCAGAAATACAATAGCTGGCAGGAATAGGCTGTGTTAAGTTAGTAGGTATTCATGAGTAAGTCATAATACATTCAAACAATATACTCTGATAAAAAGATTGACTTGACTTAGTTTTGACTTAGTTACATCCTATATCTACAAATAATGTGAATATTCTCTCTAGCACAAACGTTCATTGAAGCAGTTAACCTTTAGCAAATATAACCATAAAGTAAAATTGAAATGACTAATCAATGTTCAAACTGGAAATGGTCCTCCAGAAATTATATCCTATTAATTCAAATCCTGAAACTGATGAGTGCTCTATTAAAATAAATGCATCTCGCTTTCTAAACTGAACAAAATTAACTAACAGACTCCATACATCGCTACTTATTTATCAGATGGTTAGTTATATTGATGAGCCCCTATATGTACAATTACCTGCTGTTATACCTTGACAAGAATATAAATATACTCTCAGAAATAATCTCACCCAATGATGTTGGCCAGCTGTCTACAAAAAACTCTGGAAATAAACCAGTCCCTTGTAAGATGCAACAGTAAACTGCAAGTACAGAAAAATACCTCAAAAGAAATAAACAAAGTTATTAAATGGAATTAATAAGTTCTTCCTGTATCTTAAATAAAAATTCATAGTAAAATGCGTTTTATGTTTTGGTCTTGATTGTTGGTTTGCGTTTGCGCCCACATATACCTCAGTAAAAACAACACATGCCAATTTCTGATTGCATAGCTAGTAGCACAGGACTCTGGTCTTGGGTGATTTCTAGCCTTGATACTTAAACTGGAACAAGAAGCACGAGTCTAAGATTTGTCATTTTTAATGCTTTCAAGCTGTTGATAAAAGTCAGCATTTAACATAAGCAAGTGGGCGAAAGATATTAGAGGAAAAAATAATCAAAATAATATTACTGCAGAACTAAACAAGACAGTAGCAACTGAGCCACCTCAACTTTTCACTGTAAAAGACTTGATTGGGAAGTTCAGTTTCTTTTCTTTTCCTTCCCTTCCCTCTTCCCGCCCAAATAATTACTCTATAGACCAGAAGTGACTCACAGTAAAATATCTCTTAATCAAAGTAAACAATCAAAGACACAAATTCTGTTTTCAGTTTAACCCAAACTAGTCCAAAGTCTCACTGGGATTCTCAAAAGCTTTAAATAAGATTTAAATCACTTTAGCTCTTAGTTTATAAGTACACGCATTCTAACAAGGAAACTGATCAAAATCACACAGGAGACACCTTTTACTGCAGTGAGCTCCACAGAAAACCCTTGGCAATTAAGTATGATTTGACAAAGCTATAAAATAATTATATTCAAATAAAGTGAAAACTATGAAGTTTTTACAGTAGAACTTAAGCCACATATTATCAATATCTGATTTGTAGCTCTATTTGATATATAACTGTTCACATCCTTGAAGGATTTCCTAAGTTAATAAAGAAAAAGATCAAGAGACCATAAAATCATTACTAGTCTATTGAAAGTATCAAAAAACCCATTGCATGGCCAATTCAAACTTGTCTTTGCTTTACAGTTCTGACCACTCTCTACATTTGTAACACTGTGCTTATTTTCCAAGTTAGCTGCCACTTTTGCTAGCACAATTTTACTTCGAGACAAAATAGGCCTACAGTTTTACCACGTAATATGAAATTATGTGCTGGTTTTGGCTGGGATAGAGTTAATTTTCTTCACAGTAGCTAGTATGGGGCTATGTTTTGGATTTGTGCTGAAAACTGATAACATAGGGATGTTTTAGCTACTGCTGAGCAGTGCCTACACAGAGTGAAAGCCTTTTCTGCTTCTCACACCACCCCACCAGTGAGGAGGCTGGGGGTGCACAA